CAATATTTATCAGATGTTAACTATAATATATATCAGTATGTAGTGTCTCTACTTTAAAGAGTCCTCTCCTGCTGATGTTCAGGTGTATATCAGTATGTAGTGTCTCTACTTTAAAGAGTCCTCTCCTGCTGATGTTCAGGTGTATATCAGTATGTAGTGTCTCTACTTTAAAGAGTCCTCTCCTGCTGATGTTCAGGTGTATATCAGTATGTAGTGTCTCTACTTTAAAGAGTCCTCTCCTGCTGATGTTCAGGTGTATATCAGTATGTAGTGTCTCTACTTTAAAGAGTCCTCTCCTGCTGATGTTCAGGTGTATATCAGTATGTAGTGTCTCTACTTTAAAGAGTCCTCTCCTGTTGATGTTCAGGTGTATATCAGTATGTAGTGTCTCTACTTTAAAGAGTCCTCTCCTGCTGATGTTCAGGTGTATATCAGTATGTAGTGTCTCTACTTTAAAGAGTCCTCTCCTGCTGATGATCAGGTGTATATCAGTATGTAGTGTCTCTACTTTAAAGAGTCCTCTCCTGCTGATGTTCAGGTGTATATCAGTATGTAGTGTCTCTACTTTAAAGAGTCCTCTCCTGCTGATGTTCAGGTGTATATCAGTATGTAGTGTCTCTACTTTAAAGAGTCCTCTCCTGCTGATGTTCAGGTGTATATCAGTATGTAGTGTCTCTACTTTAAAGAGTCCTCTCCTGCTGATGATCAGGTGTATATCAGTATGTAGTGTCTCTACTTTAAAGAGTCCTCTCCTGCTGATGCTGAGTGTGATGAAATGTCTCTCAGCAGATGAGTCCTCTTCCTGTCTCTACCTGTCTGATCGCTCAGGTATCTCAGGTATGTGCAGTTCAGGTGAGACAGTGTTCCTCACATTGTGTAACGCTGAGGGGAAAACCACAGCAGTGTACACTCAAAATATAACTAATAAATAAATTAAAAAAAATATATATAATAAATAAATAAAATGAAAAATAACCTGACACCCAAATATATATATATAATATTATTTTATAAATACTGTGTTTTTATTGGATTAGATTATAGTTTCTTTAGGAAGTAAAGCTTTAAATCTGATTGTTCTTCGAATAACTCGGTTGTATTTCTGGGGCTTCTGGTCTATATTCAGGATCTTCAGGAGTTTCTTCTGGGGTTTCCCGGCTCGTGGACCCATGTTTGAAGTAATCTAATCACGTGACTCACTTCCTGTCACATGATCAGATACATTGTTCTGGCTCTGAGTTTGGAAAGTGCTTTCCATGAACCCCGCCAAAACACTTTCCGTTCCTTACGCAATCTTGGATGAGTCATGTGTGTGTGTTTGTGTGTGTGTGTGTGTGTGGGTGGGTGTGGAAAAGGGGCGGGGCTACATGAGTTGTTCACAGAATAAATTGGTTGCTTAGTTTAGGGTTATGTACCAGCAGATACCGTGTGATCTCAGCTGGAGGTCCTGAGGGGCTTCTGCAGAGTCTGGGACCACGTGATTTACAGGAACCAGCAGGAAGTGTGTATGTGTGTGTGTGTGTGTGTGTGTGTGTGTGTGTGTGTGTGTGTGTGTGATGATTTCCAGTGAACGCTCCTTGTTCCTCTGCAGCTCCTCAGTTCTGTTCTCCCAACGATGAAGAGTAATACTAACATTAAAACATTCACTTACTTTATTAACTATACCATCATATCCATAACCACAGTTTGCTGTAGATTATAGTCAGATTACAGTCAGATTACAGTCAATTTACTGTCAGATTACAGTCAATTTACAGTCAATTTACAGTCAGATTACAGTCAATTTACAGTCAGATTACAGTCATTTTACAGTCAGATTACAGTCAGATTACAGTCAGTTTACAGTCAGATTACAGTCAATTTACAGTCAGATTACAGTCAATTTACAGTCAGATTACAGTCAGATTACAGTCAATTTACAGTCAGATTACAGTCAGATTACAGTCAATTTACAGTCAATTTACAGTCAGATTACAGTCAATTTACAGTCAGATTACAGTCAATTTACAGTCAGTTTACAGTCAGATTACAGTCAGATTACAGTCAGTTTACAGTCAGATTACAGTCAGTTTACAGTCAGATTACAGTCAGTTTACAGTCAGATTACAGTCAGATTACAGTCAGTTTACAGTCAGATTACAGTCAGTTTACAGTCAGATTACAGTCAGATTACAGTCAGTTTACAGTCAGATAAGAGTCAATTTACAGTCAGATTACAGTCATATTACAGTCAATTTACAGTGAGTTTACAGATAGATTACAGTCAGTTTACAGTCAGATTACAGTCAGATTACAGTCAGATTACAGTCAGATTACATTCAGATTACAGTCAGATTACATTCAGATTACAGTCAGATTACAGTCAGATTACAGTCAGATTACAGTCAGATTACAGTCACAGACAGAAACTGGGACTAGAGACAGAAACTGGGACTAGAGACAGAAGCTGGGTCTAGAGACAAGCTGGGTCTAAAGACAGAAGCTGGGACTAGAGACAGAAGCTGGGTCTAGAGACAGAAGCTGGGACTAGAGACAGAAGCTGGGTCTAAAGACAGAAGCTGGGTCTAGAGACAGAAGCTGGGACTAGAGACAGAAGCTGGGTCTAGAGACAGAAGCTGGGTCTAGAGACAGAAGCTGGGTCTAGAGACAGAAGCTGGGACTAGAGACAGAAGCTGGGTCTAGAGACAGAAGCTGGGTCTAAAGACAGAAACTGGGTCTAGAGACAGAAGCTGGGACTAGAGACAGAAGCTGGGTCTAGAGACAGAAGCTGGGTCTAGAGACAGAAGCTGGGTCTAAAGACAGAAACTGGGACTAGAGACAGAAGCTGGGTCTAGAGACAGAAGCTGGGTCTAGAGACAGAAGCTGGGTCTAGAGACAGAAGCTGGGTCTAAAGACAGAAGCTGGGTCTAGAGACAGAAGCTCGGTCTAAAGACAGAAGCTGGGTCTAGAGACAGAAGCTGGGTCTAGAGACAGAAGCTGGGACTAGAGACAGAAGCTGGGTCTAGAGACAGAAGCTGGGTCTAGAGACAGAAGCTGGGACTAGAGACAGAAGCTGGGTCTAAAGACAGAAGCTGGGTCTAAAGACAGAAGCTGGGTCTAAAGACAGAAGCTGGGTCTAGAGACAGAAGCTGGGTCTAAAGACAGAAGCTGGGTCTAGAGACAGAAGCTGGGTCTAGAGACAGAAGCTGGGTCTAAAGACAGAAGCTGGGTCTAAAGACAGAAGCTGGGTCTAAAGACAGAAGCTGGGTCTAGAGACAGAAGCTGGGTCTAAAGACAGAAGCTGGGTCTAGAGACAGAAGCTGGGTCTAAAGACAGAAGCTGGGTCTAGAGACAGAAGCTGGGTCTAAAGACAGAAGCTGGGTCTAGAGACAGAAGCTGGGTCTAGAGACAGAAGCTGGGACTAGAGACATAAACTGGGTCTAGAGACAGAAGCTGGGACTAGAGACAGAAGCTGGGTCTAGAGACAGAAGCTGGGACTAGAGACAGAAGCTGGGTCTAAAGACAGAAGCTGGGTCTAAAGACAGAAGCTGGGTCTAAAGACAGAAGCTGGGTCTAGAGACAGAAGCTGGGTCTAAAGACAGAAGCTGGGTCTAGAGACAGAAGCTGGGTCTAAAGACAGAAGCTGGGACTAGAGACAGAAGCTGGGTCTAAAGACAGAAGCTGGGTCTAGAGACAGAAGCTGGGTCTAAAGACAGAAGCTGGGTCTAGAGACAGAAGCTGGGTCTAAAGACAGAAACTGGGTCTAAAGACAGAAGCTGGGTCTAGAGACAGAAGCTGGGTCTAGAGACAGAAGCTGGGTCTAGAGACAGAAGCTGGGTCTAAAGACAGAAGCTGGGTCTACATTTGTATTTTTTGTGAAACTATTTCTAGCTTTGAATTCCTCTCGTTACAATATGACATATATTTAGTAAAACTATGACTGAATGTCAGAGATATTGTTTTTCTGCTTTGAATCTGAAACACTGAACAGCTTCAGGGACCCAGAATGCACTGCTTTCATCATCTTTGTATAGGAAACAGCAGAAACATCAAACAGGTGTGTGTGTGTGTGTGTGTGTGTGTGTTGTGTATGTGTGTGTGTGTGTGTGTGTGTGTGTGTGTGTGTGGCTGTGTGTGTGTGTGTGGTGTGTGTGTGTGTGTGTTGTGTGCTGTGTGTGTGTGTGTGTGTGTGTGTGTGTGTGGCTGTGTGTGTGTTGTTGTGTGTGTGTGTGTTGTGTTTGGTTTGTGTTGTGTATGTGTGTGTGTGTGTGTGTGTGTGTGTGGCTGTGTGTGTGTGTGTTGTGTTGTGTGTGTGTGTGTGTGTGTTGGCTGTGTGTGTGTGTGTTGTGTGTGTGTTGTGTGTGTGTGTGTGTGTGTGTGCTGTGTGTGTGTGTGTGTGTGTGTGTGTGTGTGTGTGTGGCTGTGTGTGTGTGTGTGTGTGTGTTTGTTGTGTGTGTGTTGTATGTGTGTGGCTGTGTGTTGTGTGTGTCTGTGTGTGTGTGTGTGTGTGTGGCTGTGTGTGTGTGTGTGGCTGTGTGTGTGTGTGTGTGTGTGTGTAGAAAGCAGAATCATCAAACAGGAGAAACTGTGTTTTGATCATAAAGTTTATTTTCACGTCTTAATTCAGTGCAAACTCTTGTCCCCCCTCAGTCCCCCCTCAGTCCCCCCTCAGTCCCCCTCAGTCCCCCCTCAGTCCCCCTCAGTCCCCCCTCAGTCCCACTCAGTCCCCCCTCAGTCCCCCCCTCAGTCCCCCCTCAGTCCCCCTCAGTCCCCCCTCAGTCCCCCTCCAGTCCCCCCTCAGTCCCCCCTCAGTCCCCCCTCAGTCCCCCTTCAGTCCCCCCTCAGTCCCCCTTCAGTCTCCCCTCAGTCCCCCCTCAGTCCCCCCTCAGTCCCCCTTCAGTCCCCCTCAGTCCCCCCTCAGTCCCCCTTCAGTCTCCCCTCAGTCCCCCCTCAGTCCCCCCTCAGTCCCCCTTCAGTCCCCCCTCAGTCCCCCTTCAGTCTCCCCTCAGTCTCCCCTCAGTCCCCCCTCAGTCCCCCTTCAGTCCCAGCTTCAACACTTCATCTCCTTCTTTATATATCCCTCTGAACAGAAGTGTTGACAAAGCCGTGGCTCCCTCGTTGTTAGCACGAGTTCAATGTGAACGCTTTAACATTTAAAGACGTCTCATCGTGGTTTCCTTCATGAGAGACTCCTCACTTTAAAACTCTTCATAATAATCAACAACAACATGGAGGTAGAAGTTAATAAATAAATAAATACATTTTAAATGAGCAGCGATAAATATAAAGATATAATAAATATAAATATTCTGTTAATGTAGAAGACGAGGCGTTCACAGAACCCTGTAAATCTGAGCTTTCAACACGTGTCTCGTGATATTCTTAGTGATCAAGATGTTTAACTCAATGCATCCAGACCTTCAGAAACACATCTTCATGTCCATCTCTTCGTCTCCGTCTCTTTCTGTCTCTGTTAATGTCTTTTTCTCTGAGACTGATCTCCATTTATTTTTCTCCGTCAACTTCCATCTTTGTCTCTTCATCTCCACGACGTTACCTCCATCTCTTTCAGTCTTTTACAAAATAGCTTAATGTCTGTCACGTCATTTACGTTTCACTCCGACCTTCTCCATCTCTTGACCTCCACCTCTTGACCTCCCTCTCTCTGTCCCGTCCTCAGCGGGTCTGCAGGGTCCCGATGAGGCGGTCCCAGTGGGTGAAGTATGGTGCGTAGTTGCAGGAGGAGTTGAGATGGTGCAGGTCGTGGTGCGGCGCGCCCCCGTACAGGTGGAGGGGAAAGAGGCGGTGCGTGGCCCAGGGCAGGTCGTAGCCGCAGTGGTCCTCCACAGAGAGCCAGATGTTGAGCAGGAAGAAGCCCAGCTGGCTGAGGGGGTGCAGGCCCAGGAGGACCGGGGTGCATCCCGAGAAGAAGCCCAGACTCAGGGTCTCCATCGCCCCCGTCGCCTCCGTGGTGAGCGCCCAGGTGGAGCTGGAGCTGTGGTGCACCTGAGGAGAACATTTAAAGACAGTGGTGAGTCTCAGGTGGAGCTGTGGTGCACCTGAGGGGGGGGGCATTTAAATGGGTTGTTTTCTTACTTTTTATCTGGTTTTAGGTTAATTTATTTAATATTCTATATATTCTGATTCTGATAACCAGGTGAGTCTCAGGTGAGTCTCAGTGAGTCTCAGGTGAGTCTCAGGTGAGTCTCAGTGAGTCTCAGAGTCTCAGGTGTCTCTCAGATGAGTCTCAGGTGAGTCTCAGAGTCTTAGTGAGTCTCAGATGAGTCTCAGGTGAGTCTCAGAGTCTCAGTGAGTCTCAGTGAGTCTCAGTGAGTCTCAGTGAGTCTCAGAGTCTCAGGTGTCTCTCAGATGAGTCTCAGGTGAGTCTCAGTGTCTCTCAGGTGAGTCTCAGGTGAGTCTCAGAGTCTCAGTGAGTCTCAGGTGAGTCTCAGAGTCTCAGTGAGTCTCAGATGAGTCTCAGGTGAGTCTCAGAGTCTCAGTGAGTCTCAGGTGAGTCTCAGGTGAGTCTCAGAGTCTCAGTGTCTCTCAGGTGTCTCAGGTGAGTCTCTTACCTTGTGGAAGGTGCGGTAGAGCCAGGGCACCCTGTGGTGCAGCAGGTGCCAGGTGAAGCTCTGGAAGTCGAACAGCAGCAGGCAGACGAACACCTGGGCCAGGAGGCGGGGAAGGGGCGGGGCCTGAGCCGGCAGGTGGGCGGGACTTAGGTACCCGTGCAGCAGCGTGATTGGCAGCAGGAACACCAGGTGGTTGTAGAGTGTCAGAGACAGGCAGCTCCGCACTGAGGCCCAGCTGACGGAGCTCTGAGGCTGCAGCTTGTACCTGCGCAGTGAGGCCCACCTGAGGGCCAGCAGGTCCAGCAGCAGGTAGGGCAGGCAGCAGGTGAGGTAGCCCCCCAGGGAGAAGAGCACGGGGAACAGGGGGGACAGCAGGAGGGACGAGTGTCCCCGCAGGAGGTCCCAGAGAGGCTGCAGCATCATCATCTTCATCACTTAGTGAGAGTTATTCTGTCTGAGAGCCGCTGCACTACAGGCTTATATAGAGCACAGGCCCCGCCCCCTCTGACATCACAGGACACTCCTTATAAGGTCTTCACTTCCTGCTCTGAGGAAAGTCCACGAGGAAATGAACCCTGCAAGTTCAGACAAAAACACAGAAACACTCAAGATAAGAGACCCACAGGAAGGAGCTACACAACCCACTACACTACAACATCTACTACACAATCTACACAACCACACAGCTTACTACACAATCTACTACACAACATACACAATATACACAATATACACAACCGTACAAACACACAATCTACATCACAAACACACAACTACACAACCACATAATCTGCCGGGCTGTTCATTGGCTGTTCATTGGCTGTTCATTGGCTGTTCATTGGCTGTTCATTGGCTGTTCTTTATTGTCAATCTTTCAGTAGAGAGATCGAAATACAAAAACAAATATCTATATAAAGATGTATATCCTGTATATACACAATCAAAGACACATTTATACATGCACACATTAAGACCTAAATAAAAGCACAACAATCAATAAATACAAAATAACAGTCACTTCAATATCTATGGAAATCACATTAGTGCAGACGGTCCATAGCAGCGTAAAGTGTCTGACCTGGATCTGAGGGTCTGACCTGGATCTGAGGGTCGGACCTGGATCTGAGGGTCGGACCTGGATCTGAGGGTCGGACCTGGATCTGAGGGTCGGACCTGTATCTGAGGGTCGGACCTGGATCTGAGGGTCGGACCTGGATCTGAGGGTCTGACCTGGATCCGAGGGTCTGGATCTGAGGGTCTGACCTGGATCTGAGGGTCTGACCTGGATCTGAGGGTCTGATCTGGATCTGAGGGTCTGATCTGGATCTGAGGACCTGGATCTGAGGGTCTGATCTGGATCTGAGGGTCTGATCTGGTTCTGAGGGTCTGATCTGGATCTGAGGGTCTGATCTGGGACCAGAGAGAGAGGAAGGCATCTGGACTGGTTCTGTGTGTCTTGTCTGTTTTTAAGGTTCTTAATAAATAATAATTTTCTCTGCATCATTTTTGGTTTTATAGTGAAACTCTTCTTCTGTGGTGGAGGCCTGCCCCCTGCTGGCCGTCAGAGGAGTGGCACGCTCACATCAATTTATTTTAATTTTATTTATTTACTATTTTTAAAATGTCGCTCTTTAGTGTTTTTGTATTTTCTAAAACACTTGATGTTAGGCATTGGTTATACATGAGGGGGGGGAGGGGCTCGATGTGAATCACCTGTAGCCTGTTTCCACCTGAGGCTCCTCCAGCTGAGGCTCCTCCAGCTGAGGCTCCTCCACCTTAGGTGCCTTACAAACAATGGACGTCCGCTCTCGGGAGCGTCGGAGTGGTGCGGTCACCCTAAGTGACAGACCTAAAGTATCCGGGATTCAGGCATCTTCCCTGGCTTGTACATTTTTGGTGATGCGCCCTGGAGGTATCAGACTATTTTAAACAACTTTTCCCCGCCTTTCAAACACTTATTCCGGGGTTTTAGCCAGTCATTTTGCACGAAATCATTTAACATTGACGGTCTCCTGAAAAAGCACATATTCTGTGCATTTTCAGGAAAGCGTCAATGTTAAATGATTTCGTGCAAAATGACTGTCTAATACTCTCTTCCAGACATTTAAAAATACTTTCCCCGACCATTTAAACATTATTTCTGGCTTGTAAAGTGCAGTTATGCGCCCTGGAGATATTATACTATTTCAAACAACTTTTCCCCGCTTTCAAACACTTATTCCTGGGTACAAGTGTTATATTTCTTCCCCCTGGGTGTGTGTGAGACAAGTGAACTGAGTCAGCCTGCCAACAAGCAGCAGTGTGCTGTCATTTGAAACATGTTCCTGTTACGATCTGTCTGTGTTGGGTTTTGTCTTGTCTTTTTCTGTCTTTGGTTTCCTGTTTTGTTTTGAAAAGTGTTCACCCCTGTCCTGCCTGATTGCCCGATTGTGTTCACCTGGTGCCCCTGTGTTTTCTCCTCCCTCCTCACCTGTGTCTTGTTTGTGTGATTGGTCTTGTGTGTATTTAGTTCTGGTTTTTCTGTCTGTCATTGTTGGTTCATTGTTGGTATTTGACTGTGTGTCACAGGGTAGTGTTCTGTGTTCTACTTCGTACCTTGAAATAAAGGAATATTCTTGGAGATCTGCATTTGGGTCCTGCCTGCTTACTCAACCCTGACAGAATGAACCAACCAGAAATGGGCCCAGCAGATCCATTTGAGGTGGAATTGCAACATTTTACCTTTTCTTTGGCTTGCTGCTATAGTAGGTGGAGGGGAGCGTCCAGTGTTCAGCAGAGAGAGGCTGCTCTGGCAGAGGCTCACCAGGTGGCAACAGTGGATCCATCTCTAGTTAAGTTCTTACCTGACTGGATTTTGGATTTCCTCTCGACGTGTGATTCCCGGCCTGCTAGCCCCAGGCATGCTAGCCCCCTGCCTCCCAACTCCCAACCTAACACCATACATCTCGGTGTGTTCCGTCTGAAGTCAACCCCTGCTTCTTCCCCATTTCCTGCTCCTGTCCAGGAGCCGTTCGCGGGCACTCGTCTGGCTTTTGGAGGTCCACGGAGCCTCCAAAAGGCTCCTAGGAGAAGGAGTCGCAAGTCCAGGCTAGCAGCCCGACCCCCAGAAGCCATGCTTTGGGCTCCAGTACAGGCCCCAGCAGCCATGGTTCCGTCTCCAGAACCGGCCCATGCAGCCATGGTTCCAGCCCCAGTTCTGGCCCCGGCAGCCATGGTTCCGCCCTCTGTTCCGTTCCAGCACGCCATTTCTCAGGAACATGAGCAGGCGTGGCGAGACTTTGAGGAAAGCCAGCGGTCCTTGGCTCTATGCTTCCCGGGCCTCGCTGCTCGGGTCTCGACTTTGACGTCTTCTGCTGCATTTCCTGCCTCCTCCAGTCCACCTGTGGATTCCACTCCAGCACCTCGTGTCCTGTCGGTGGTCCGGCCGACTCCAGCACCCCGTGTCCTGTCGGTGGTCCGGCCGACTCCAGCACCCCGTCTCCTGTCGGTGGTCCGGCCGACTCCAGCACCCCGTCTCCTGTCGGTGGTCCGGCCGACTCCAGCACCCCGTCTCCTGTCGGTGGTCCGGCCGACTCCAGCACCCCGTCTCCTGTCGGTGGTCCGGCCGACTCCAGCACCCCGTCTCCTGTCGGTGGTCCGGCCGACTCCAGCACCCCGTGTCCTGTCGGTGGTCCGGCCGACTCCAGCACCCCGTGTCCTGTCGGTGGTCCGGCCGACTCCAGCACCTCGTGTCCTGTCGGTGGTCCGGCCGACTCCAGCACCTCGTGTCCTGTCGGTGGTCCGGCCGACTCCAGCACCCCGTGTCCTGTCGGTGGTCCGGCCGACTCCAGCACCCCGTGTCCTGTCAGTGGTCCGGCCGACTCCAGCACCCCGTGTTTTGTCAGTGGTTCGGCCCACTCCAGCCCCTCGTGTCCTGTCGGTGGTCCGGCCGACTCCAGCACCCCGTCTCCTGTTGGCTCTCCGGCCGACGCCAGCCCCCCGTGTCCTGTTGGCTCTACGGCCGACGCCTACCCCATGTCCTGTACCGTTGGAGGTCCCGCCGACTACTCTCCTGCCGGGGGTCTTGCCAACCCTATGTCCTGTGATGTTGGAGGTCCCGCCAACTACTCTCCTGCCGGGGGTCCTGCCAACCCTATGTCCTGTGCTGTTGGAGGTCCCGCCGACTACTCTCCTGCCGGGGGTCTTGCCAACTCCATGTCCTGTCCCGCCGACTGCTCTTCTGCCGGGGGTCCTGCCGGTCCTGTGTCCGGTGCCGTTGGAGGTCCCGCCGACTACTCTTCTGCCGGGGGTCTTGCCAACCCTATGTCCAGTGCTGTTGGAGGTCCCGCCGACTACTCTCCTGCCGGGGGTCTTGCCAACTCCGTGTCCTGTCCCATTGGGGGTTCCGCCGACTACTCTTCTGCCGGGGGTCTTGCCAATCCTATGTCCTGTCCCGTTGGGGGTCCCGCAGACAACTCTCCTGCCGGGGGTCTTGCCAACTCCATGTCCTGTTCCGTTGGGGATCTCGCCGACTACTCTTCTGCCGGGGGTCTTGCCAATCCTTTGTCCTGTCCCGTTGGGGGTCCCGCCGACAACTCTCCTGCCGGGGGTCTTGCCAACTCCATGTCCTGTCCCGTTGGGGGTCCCGCCGACAACTCTCCTGCCGAGGGTCCTGCCAACTCCACGTCCAGTATCGTTGGAGGTCCTGCCGACACCTGTTTCGCTGTGGGTCCTGCCAACCCCTTGTCCTGTCCCGTTGGGGGTCCCGCCGACACCTGCTCCGCCGGATTTCCTGCCAACACCAGATCCTGTCCTGTTGGGGGTCCCGCCGACACCTGTCCCGCCGGGGGTCCTGCCAACTCTGTGTCCTGTTCCGTTGGGGTCCAGTCGACACCAGCCCTTGCTCCATCCGGGGTCCCATTGACACCAGCCCTTGTCATGTTCAGGATCCCGTCTACGCCTGTCCCGTCGGCTCCGGTTCCTGTCCGGCCGATACTGGGTCCTGCCCGGCCTCCGGAGCTGTCCCGTCGGCGCCTTCCTGCCCGGCCTCCGGAGCTGTCCCGTCGGCGCCTTCCTGCCCGGCCTCCGGAGCTGTCCCGTCGGCGCCTTCCTGCCCGGCCTCCGGAGCTGTCCCGTCGGCGCCTTCCTGCCCGGCCTCCGGAGCTGTCCCGTCGGCGCCTTCCTGCCCGGCCTCCGGAGCTGTCCCGTCGGCGTCTTCCTGCTCGTCCTCCGGAGTTGTCCCGTCGGCGCCTTCCTGCCCGTCCTCCGGAGCTGTCCCGTAGACGTCTTCTTGTTCGCCCTCGAGCCCGGCTCCCTGAGTGCCGCGGTCTTAGCCCTCAAGCCCGGTCTCCTGAGTACCCCAGCCGTGGTCTTCGCCCTCGAGCCCGGCCTCCTGACTCTCCCAACCACTGCCTTCGCTCTCATGCCCGGGTCCCTGAGTTCGCCCGCTGTGGCCTTCGCCCCTTTTTGGACTCTGCCTTGCTCCCGGGCCGTCCGCCCGGGACCCCTTCCGGGCCCGTCCTCCGGACCCCCTCCACCCACCCTGTTGGTCCTGGTTGTGCGTCCCTCCTCCAGACCCCCTCCACCCACCCTGTTGGTCCTGGTTGTCCTGCTAACAACCACCAGTCTGCTGTCATTTGAAACATGTTCCCCGACCTTTTAACACACTTTTTACCCATGTTATGCGTCCTGGA